TTTGTGCCTATAGTTATGAGTGATGACAAATGCATAGTGTCACGTGTCCATCATTATGTCATGTAAAACAGCTTCATTGCCCTAAAACTCTCCTGTGCTCCATTTGTCTATTTGTGTCCCCACCCCCAAATGCCTGATAACCACTGATCTTTTCTTTAAAAAAATATATATATTTTTTTTATTGATATTTTACAGAGAGGAAGAAAGAGGGATAGAGAGTTAGAAACATCGATGAGAGAAAAACATCGATCAGCCGCCTCCTGCACACTCCCTACTGGGGATGTGCCCACAACCAAGGTACATGCCCTTGATCGGAATCGAACCTGGGACCTTTCGCAGGCCGATGCTCCATCCACTGAGCCAAACCGGTTTCGGCATCCACTGATCTTTTCACTGTTTTTATACTTTTGCCTTTTCCAGAATGTCATGTAGATGGAATCACACAGTATATAGCCTTTAAAAACTGACTTCTTTCACTTAGCAATATACATTCAAGTTTCCTCATGCCTTTTGTGACTTGATAGCTCATTTCTTTTTGTTGCTGAATAATATCTCATTGTGTGGATGTACTCTAGTTTGCTACTCATTTGAGTAAATACCAAGGACTTAGATGGTTGGACCATCTTTCGCTTTTATAAGACACTGCCAAACTGGCTGTACCATTTTGCATTCCCACCAGCAATGAATGAGAGTTCCTGTTGCTCCATATCCTCATCAGCATTTGTGCATATTTTCAGTGAATTGTACTACTTTCACAATGTAACTGTTTTTTTGTGGGTTTTTTTTTCTTCAATCTCCTGACAAGCTGACAGTTTGTATGAACCTAACCAGTGAAAGCATCACCCAAGTTCACGTTGACTTAACAGTCATCCCACTGTTATTTTTCTGTCTTCTGAAACCAGCCTGATTTCCTAGCACGCACACAGCTACACACAGACATATGGACACATCGGGACAAATCCACTTCCTTATGTTTGGGATGAAGGAGAAGTTTAACTCTATCAATTTGCTCACATCTGCAGATTGTAGATTGTGCCCACATTGGCCCTCTGTCCTTCAGCAAATGGTCTTTGAAAACTCTCTCTAAGGGATTCTTGGCACATGAAAAAAAGAGAAGCTAAAGGTCTGAAAAATAAAACGTACTCTATGACCAGGTAAGGCTGCTGGCTCTATTTTCTAACAGTGTTGGATAATCGGAAGAGTCTCCTGTTACATAAATAATCTGTAGGTTGAGAATAAATTCTGAGTATATACTTTACTCATCTGTAGGGCCCTCCGAAAGAGGAGTCCAATACCAGGGGTCGGTCTTCCTTCATTTTTTCAGAATAGAAAAGGAAGCTGGGATGTGGCTTGATCTGAGACAGTGTTGAAGAATAAAGCCAATTATTTAGGAGATAAAAATATGATTTTACCATTTTTTAAAAAAGTTTTCCCAAGCCAATACAAAGTATCCATGGAAAACAATACATAAAAATTTCACATTCAGGCAGCCTAGCGAGAAGCTAGGAAAATTCTTGGGCAAGTGGAATGGGAAAACTGAGACAGATGGCTGAATAAACTGGTCAAGTAATTTCCAGCAGATAATAAATCTAAGGTCTTATCTTCCCTAACCAAGGACACTTAGGAACAAATGGTTTACACATTCCAGACTGTGCTGGGACACACCTGCCCTGGTCCCTCTCTGGTGACATTGTTGTTTTTTATCCTCATCGGAGGATGTGTTTATTAATCTTTTTTCTTTTTCTTTTTAGAGCAGTGGTTCTCAACCTTTTTAATGCCATGGCCCTTTAATACAGTTCCTCATGTTGTGGTGACCCCCAACCATAGAATTACTGTTATGAATCATAATGTAAATACTTGTGTTTTCCGATGGTCTTAGGCTCCACAGCAGCAGTTCTTAACCTGAGAACCGCTAGCAGGGTCGCCTAAGACCAATGGAAAACCAGATATTTACATTATGATATTACATTCCTTAAGAGTAGCAAAATTACAGCTATGAAGCAGCAACGAAAATAATTTTATGGTTGGGGGTCACCACAACATGAGGAACTGTATTAAGGGGTTGAGGCAGTAGGAAGGTTGAGAACCACTGGTTTAGAGAGAGAGGAAGAAAGAGAGAGACATTGATGTGAGAGAGAAACATTGCTCTGTTGCTTCCCGTACACTCGCCAAGCGGGGATTGAACTGGCAACCTAGGAATATGCCTTGACTGGGAACCAAACCTACAGTCATTTAGGTAGATGGACGACACTCCAACCACCCGAGCTGCCTGGCTTGGGCAGCATTCAGTGACATTCTTTAATATATATTATATATATATATATATATATATATATATATATATATATATATATATATATATTGATTTTTTACAGAGAGGAAGGAAGAGGGATAGAGAGCTAGAAACATTGATGAGAGAGAAACATCAACCAGATGCCTCCTGCACACCCCCCACTGGGGATGTGCCCACAACCAATGTACATGCCCCTGACTGGAATCGAACCTGGGACCTTTCAGTCCGAAGACTGATGCCCTATCCACTGAGCCAAATTGGTTTCGGCTCAGTGACATTCTTAAGATGGAACTGAACCAGCGAATGATCCTGAACCCTCTATACATTCATCCTGATGATGCAGCACATTGAAGGACACACATGGAAAGCTGTGAGCATTCCACTGAGATCCTCCTGAGACCTCCCCTAAAATTCCTGCCTTTAGAAAACAGATTAAAAAGCCTCAAGATTTAGGTGCTTCTTGAGCACCCACAACCTCCTCCCTTTTCTCAGGCCTGTACTTTTGCTTTCCTAAATAGTATATGCTTGTATTGATTTCAGAGAGGAAGGGAGAGGGAAAGAGATAGAAACATCAACGATGAGAGAAAATCATTGACCGGCTGCCGCCTACATGCTCCCCTGAGCTCACCACCTGGGCATGTGCCCCTACTATGACCTCCTAGTTCAGTGGTCGATGCTCCATCACTGAGCCATGCCAGGTAGGCCTCCACTGTCTTGCCTTTGCTTGGAGAACTGTCCATGGACACCGAACACTGGAAAGAATGGCACATGCATTCCTCCCTGTGCTCGCTGGAGTGGGGCTGGCTCACCAGGCTCTCCTAGTCTCAGGGGCCTCCTTCATCCTCCTCAATCCCTGGAGTCTGAGACCAGCCCTGGCTGCATGACATTCAACAGGGGAAAGGTCAAGGGACACTACTTGCTGGATGCTACAGTTAACATCTAACTGGCTGTCAGTCTTAAAGGGGGAGAATCCCCTTTCATCCTCTTAAAAGCTGTTTGGTTGGCTCACAATAGTTCCCTCTTTCTTCTTCCTCTGTCCTGAAACTATTTTTCCATATGAGATCTTAACCCTACCAACATTACCTAAAGAAAATATTAAAACTCAATTGATGAAACTTGTGGATTGTTCTCCAAAATGTCCCTGCTGGAATGAGGGTATATTGAAGGGAAAAAAAGCGTCAGGGTGCAGCCCACTCAAAGATGGCTTCTAATTATTACAAAGACTACAGCAAGTGACATTTGTGAAAGTGGTGCAAAAAATACCTTATTCTTCCAAAAACTCCACACGAAAGCACGGGGGGGGGGGGGGGGGGACTGGCAAAAGTAGCCAGAAACTATTTTCAAAACAGTGGGAATTAAACGAAGGCTGACAGCATCCGGACAGCACTGGTTTAAGAGAAATGGCTGCATTTCAGTGTGAATAGTGAGCTGTGTGGTGTTTTAGTTGCCCTGTCCCATTCTGTCCTTGGACACCAACAACCTGCAATCGTTTTGAGCTTTAGCAATCATGATGAGGTTTAGCAATCTGACTGCCCCAGGAGGGACAGCACAGGACAGGAGCTCCTTCAAAGTCTCACCTCAGAGAACTGTCACTAGTCCTTTGTCTGGAGTTTCCTTGCCATACCCTCATTGCAAATTTGTCTTTCTGAGGTTTGATTCAAAGCTTGACGCGTGTAAAAAGCCTTTCCCCAGGGGCATTTATAGAAAATGAGTGGAGGCAATTGTTGAACTTCCTCAGAAATTTAACACAGAGTTACCACGTGGCCTGGCATATATAAGCCAGGGAATTGATGGCATAGGATCACACAAAAACGTGTACACAGGTTTCCATAGCAGCATTATGCACAATATCCAAAAAGTAAAAACAACTCAACTATCCATCAATGTATTTGTTTATCCAGGTGAATGAGTAAACAAATATGCTGTGTCCACACAATACACCACTATTATTCATCTGTGGGGGAGGGGGGGGGAAGGGAAGCACTTATTCATTCTACAACAGGAATGGGCAGTGAGAACATTAGGCTGAATGAAACTGGACAAAAAGTGCCACATTTTATATGATTTCCTTTATATAAAATCTCCAGGATAAAAATGTACATAGAGGCAGAAGATAAATCAAGGGCTGGGGGGAGGAGATGGGAAACGGGTGATAATGGTACATGGTTTTAGTGTGTGTGTGTGTGTGTGTGTGTGAGAGAGAGAGAGAGAGAGAGAGAGAGAGAGAGAGAGAGAGAGAGAGAGAAAGAGAGAGAGAGAGAGAGAAATATTCTAGAATTTGTCACGTGGTGATGGTTGCACAACCTCATGAATAGACTAAACCCCAATGATTTGTACACTTTAAGAGAGTGAATTGTATATATTTCTATTAAAAAAAAAAAAGTAGTACAGCTTCTGATAGTCATGTTGACCATTTAAATTTCCATGAACAATTTCTGGGGTGTCTTGGGGCTATTGGACTGAGAAAGTTAATCTTGGCAATTATATATAAGGGGGAGCACAGCTACAAGGGCCACACCCACCCACACACAACCACAAAAAACACACACCACCTAAAGCAAGCCCTTTACCTTCCAGATACTCAAAAGTATGGCTTACAGTATTTCCCTGGCAAACTCTTTTCTTTAACAATCTCCAATCTGCACACCCGCCACAAGGTCGGAAAGAGAATAACTCTCCAGACTCAAGTCAGCAAGGGTAACCCTACCTTTGTTATTGTTTTGTTGTTCCATCAATAATTTACTTATTTCCGAAAACCAGCAATCTCTGATTTCTTTGGAAGCTGCCTGCAATCACAGATAAGAAAACACTGTGAGCATCAGATCACCTGGAAAAGGAACTGCACTGCGCTTTCCTCATCTGGGGGACCGAGTTAGAACAATGATGACAGGAAACACTTGTCAAGCCACGGGCACCCCCTCTGGGGAAGACCCGAGCTTCACCTGCAGGACGTATTTCTCAAGTCCATTTCGGCTGACAAGTTCAAACTTTCTGTTGCTCCCCCTTTCAAGCTGGTGAATTGAAAGTGTCGTCCACTGTCATAAAGAAAGAAGAAAAAATGTCATTTTCTGATTTCAAACTTTTCACTGTCCGCTACCCTAATCCTTTCTACCCCTGATGTCTCTCTTCTTCCACCTTCCTTCCAAGTGTTTTTTGCTGTTTTCTCTTAATGGCTCCAAGGAGCGGAAAACACAATCTGGTACAGAGTCAACTGCCTCATCTGTCTCAGAGGATACCAGATTGTATCTTTCTTTCTTTCTTTCTTTTTTTCTTTTCTTTTTTTTTTCTTCCAGATTGTATCTTTCTATCGGTAGAGTCGTAGCCGCAACCTTTAAGCAAAGATCATCTCTCCTGTAACACAGGCGCTCATCACCAAGTCTCTCATCCTGTGCCCAGAGGAAATAGGTCCCTTCCCTCTACTTAACACAAAATCCCTCTACTCCAGCTCTGCCCTGTCTACTGACTGATTCCCAGCCCTGACTCTGGAGGCAGACGTGGGCGTGGATTCTGGCTCTGTTGTGTGGCATTTGGCAAGAGAGCCTCACCTCTCTATGCTACTGTTTCCTGTCTGTGAAATCAGATCTCTACCGTGTTTCCCTGAAAATAAGACATCCTCCAAAAATAAGACCTACTTACAGGTTTCCTTCTGAGTGAAATATAAGGCATCCCCCCCAAAATAAGCCCCCCCACCCCCTAGGCTAAACATGAGAGGTTTGGTCCACTGATTCTGAAAGAAATGGAGTCACAAGAAATTCACCAGGAAATTCAGGAATTAGATTGTTATGATGATGTTCCAGAAGATGATGACATGATTGTCATTGAATAAATGACTCAATTCTTGATACTGTAGGATTCACAGTTTGTCTGGTTTGTGTTGACAACTACCGTACTACCGTACCGTATACAGGTAAGAAATTTCCTTTATTTTCATTTAACAATAAATGTGTACCGTATTCTTCTTCATGGAAAAATAAGACATCCCCTGAAAATAAGACCTAGCGCATCTTTGGGAGCAAAAATTAATATAACACACTGTCTTATTTTCGGGGAAACGGTACGTACGTTTCTCTCGATAGGGTGTGTGTGTGTCGGGGGGAGGGGGGCGCGACAGGAGCCCTTTACCTTCACAGACTTCTTAAAGCTGTAACGAGGGGCCAGGCCCTGGTCACTGGGCTCCATCCGTATCTTGCAGAACACGATCCCCCTCTCAAACAGATAGAGCTGCCGCTGGCTGGGCTTAAACCGAATGAACCCCTTCATCTTGGAGCGCTCCTTGTGCACGGTCCAGACGCTGAACGGGCCGTGCCTCAGCAGCCTGCCCAGCTCTCGGATGTCCTCCTGCAAGGGTCCCGGACACACACAAGGCAAAGCTGCTCAATGACTCGCCACAGAGAGAACTCGGAGGGGTCTGCTTTTGAAGGAGAAATCGTGCTTATTCGAGGCCCATGACCTTAGAAATGCCACGCAGGCCAATCTGCCTCTAAATCAAAACTGCAAATAGGGGGTTAAGGACAAATATAGGATACCTTAATCAATAAAGAAATTAAAAAAGAAAACACAAACTGCAACCTTATAAGCTTCACTGCATGCTGATACCACTCCATTACATCAGGGAATTGCTCAGCAGCACACGGGGATACACATACAACACGTTGGATATACTGGAACTACAGATACGGGACTCTGAGGTGTTGCCTTGTAATTAATTTTAGCTAGCAGAATCCCATATCCTCATCTTTGTTTCGGAGATATGACACTACTTAACAAGGGCAAGCGATTTACATGGGAATTATGCTCAGAAGAGACAGGATTTTTTGCTGCATCGTGGATCTCGGATAATCCGCGTGCTCCATCTGCTAGCTAACGTCTGCTTCATGTCTGTGAAAACCTGGGATCATGAGATTTGTTCTGAAAGGAGAAAGCTCCAAGGGCCATTTGAATGTGTATAACATTTGTGGGCCGTACAAAATTATCAACTTAAAAATTAGCCTGCTATCTTTGGTCAGACATTTCATTAACTCACCCCTAATGCCTTGGCAGGGCCAGAGCAAAAGACTTCCCAGGTCTTATATGGCCCGTGGGCTGGACTTTTCCCACCCCTGCAGACAGGAAATAACTGAGGAAATTAGGGCAAAAATTTTTTTTAAGATGAAAAGGTTGTACAGAAAACCCACGCAATGAAGCCATGGACGCTTGCTGCAGACTCAGCTCTGACCTCCCAGCAGACTCACAGAGGGAGGCACAGTGAGTTATATGAATCATTATGTCCCAAGACATACCCAAACCAGTTGTGCAAGAAACACACGGATTCCTGTCAATGGGACAGGAGAGAAATGTCTCCACCAGTCCTCAGACAGGGTCACTGAGTCAGATACTGAGCACACCCTTCAACACATCCCAGAATAGATGGATGAGTGGGTTTTAGGTAAAGCAGTTTCTAAGGACACATCTGGCACAGATGTAAAAGCAATTCTAAAAGAGGCCAGAACCATGGAGGTGTGAACAAGCCCAGGTGTACTCTCTCTAATGACCTGTAGAGGGCAGGGCCATCTTAGTAAGAAGTCTGCCAAGGCCATGGCCAAAGAGCAGCAGCGATGTCTCTGTCCTTATTCACCTCTGCACTTCCCTCCCTACCCCTCATGCAGCCACAGCCATTTGCATGTTGGGAGGCAACTGATCAAAGGATGTGAGGCCAGTGAGGTGCCAGCCCCTGACCTGATCCTTGTCTCGGCTGAGGAGACCTGAGGAGGAGGCAGTGAGCAGCAGGGGTTGCAGCTGTGAGATGCTCTATCAGAGGGCAGGTGGTGAAATGAACGATAAGGAAGATGAGTCACCGGAAACTATGAGGAAGAGGAAAAGACACGGGCAGACCCAGTCACTGCCTGGTGAGCCAAGAGGCAGACCACATAGGTGAGATCCCCAACTCCCTTCCAGGCCAAGGCCCCAGGACTGATGGGGAGCCTGGAGTTGCCCGGTTCCCACTCTGGGAGCTCGGCGCTGCCACCGTCCTGACTCTACCTGAGGTTCTGCAGTCGGCTTTTCCAGTTAGTCCATCGTCACTGGGAGTGACAGGGGCCGAGGGCTGGGTGTGAGTCTAGCTGAAACAGCTGCGTAGCTTCCAGGCCGTCTTGCATAAACTTTGTCAGAACCATGACCCTGATAGGATTAAACAGCCCGGAATGGTGTCTTATGTGGAGGCCGCCGCTGCCACGGGGAAGCAGGCAAGGAGATTCCTCAGAGCCGGACCAAGGATGACCTGGACCATCTTTTCAACCACGTATATCCTTTCTTTCCAATCAGACTGTTATTGGTCCCAAAGCCAGAGACCACATACATAACCTCTTACAGATATTTGTCCCTTAGAAAGTATGTATTCATGTGTTGGCATTTAGTGAGTGCAGGGGGGGGGGGGTGGAGGGGTGGAGGCTGGGGCGGGGCATAAAGCTGAGTGCTCAGCACTATATGACGAGGGAGTTAATGCAGTGAATAGCATCTCCTCCAAAACTCAAGTCCACCTGGGACCTCAGAACGTGACAGGATTGAAAACAGAATCTCAGGTGCAATTAGTTAAAATTTGGTCATACTGGATTAGGGCGGGCCCTACCCTAAAGGCTGGTGTCCTTACGGGAAGAAGTAGACACGCAGAGCCGCACACATACAGAAGACAGCCGTGAAGACAGGGACAGGAACTGGCATGATGTGGCTGAAAGCCCAGGAATGCCATGCATTGCCAGGAACAGGAGCAAGGAGGCAGTGCCCCCAGAGAGAACCTTGATTTTGAATTTCTAACTTCCGGCACCATGGGAAAATAAGTGTCTGTGGTTGTAAGCCAACCCCGTATGTGGTGTGTTGTCATGGCAGCTCCAGGAAATGGATGTACCCCCAACCAGTTTTTTCCACCAGTGACGTAATGGGGTGGCCCTCCCTTTGGGGTGCTGAAGAATCTAATGGATGTGAACTCAGAGACAGACTAGGGGGGGTACACCCCACACAGATGAGCAAGTGAAAAGTCCTCCTCCGTATGGGAAATGATGGCAAAAATAGACTAGCAAACGCTACCATTTTCATGTGTGGGCCTTTTGTGGGCGAGAGCTCTGATATAAGGATTTCACGTGTGACCACATGGGCCAAAGGGAGAATCTGGCTGAGAGAGAATCTCGGGAAGCTAGCCTCCAGGAAGATGGGGGTGCCTCAGCGTTCACTCTCGGCTGTGACAGAGCTCCATGCTTCTTGCACAAAGAAGCAGGAAACATCTGGATAAGTGAATCCGCACAAAAGCCTGGTCCAGAAATGAGAACCAGAAGCTGTGGGACGGAGAAGCTGAGGTTACAATCGCCAGAAGCAAAGGGGTTCCTTCCTTTCCAGTCTGATCAAGGACCCAAATACATCAGCCCTGGGGCCCTGAATTCAGCACCTACCAGGCGCCAGGCAAGGTGCTAGGCGTCTTAAATATTATTTAATCTTTCTGTACTCTACTGAGAGGTGTCTTGAGGGTGGGAAGATGGGCAAGGCAATCCCACTGAGTCATGAAGATTGTTTGCTCAGCCTTATTTCTGTAGCCAACAAATGATAAGGAAAGTGAAAAGTAACATAGAAACAAAATACCTGGGCCTAGCCCACAATAAACTTGCAATAAAAAAGCTTCCTTTAACAAATAATAAACTTTGTTCCAGAAAATTAAAATGTTTTATTCAACCTTTACTCTTCAACTTTGAAACTTGTTCCTGGCAAGTCAGGATTTAAAAGGACTCTAAATGTTTTTCTATTTTATACATTGGATTAAAGAGGGAAAACTTTTTTTTTTTTTTGACAAAAAAAAGGGAAGTAAATTAAGTCTCGGTGTTCCATAAAACAACCTTTCTTTAAAAAATAATTTTAAAAAAGTTTTTGTGATTCAATTAAGCCAACAATTGAGTATACACAAAGAGAAAATGTAAATATCAGAAGGGATTTTTTTTCCTAGTTGCTTTAATTATGAAGTCACCCACTGAAGTTCAATTTCTTTCCTTTACAAAACCAGGTTAATATTGGATATCAAGTAGAGAAACCAGGAGGTGAAGCTGGATTTATTCACCTGTACAACACATGATGGCAAACATTTTGTGATAAGGTTCCACAAAAAGAGGCCAAGACTCTCAGTTTCATTGGATCTGAGTTAGTAGCAGGTGAGTTGTTAGTACACTCTAAACAGAACCAGATGAAGAGTATGTGGAGAGGGTGGCACCCTGGCTAGGGAGTGAAGAGATCCAAGACACAGTGCAAGCTGAGGAAAGTATATGAAATGCAGAATGCCAGAATGCTTGGTCCCTGTACAGTAACTAAAAAGATCCAGGCCCTGAGAGTAGGCCAGGATACATGCTGCATGGTTTCAGATGGAATCAAAGTTGCTCCTCAGCTCACTGTGAGATGCGGAGATTATCATGGACTGCCTGGGTGGGTCCAATGTAATCACAAGAGTCTTTAGAACATCGAAGAGAAGCAGAAGAAGGGGTCAGAGTGATGCCATCAACGTGAGAACTCAATGAATGGGATGTTTCTGCCTGGAAGCGAGGCAGTGGCTGTGAGCCAAGACACGTGGGTGATTTTTGTTGTTTAAGATGGAAAAGACAAGGAACAGATTCTCCCCTGGAGTCTCCTAAAAGGAAGGCAGACACTTTGATTTGAGCCCCCGGTGAGACTGTGGTCGTTCTGCCCCGCGGATCATTAAGGTGAGAAATTGGTGCTGCTCTGAGCCACCAGACTCATGGTTTGTTATGACAATGACAGAAAACTAACATTCCTGATCACTCTACTATTCCTGGAGATTACTACTAGTAATTCAGAGCACTTCACAGTGACTATGAATGCTCACTATGTCCCAGATGAATATTACTGATGTTCCAGTCCCGGGTGAGCACACAGTGCAGAGGATGGTTTGCTGGATGCCCAGGATGTGTCGGCTCAGAAAAAAAACAGAAATGCCAGAGCTGAGATGGCCCCACCTCCCAGCATCACCTCTCTTGGTATTTTCCTCCAACCACTTGGATGAAGGCAAGAATAATACATGCTTGCTGGGCTTCTTCTGAGATCTGGGATGTAAAATGGGGTGAGACTTTCCCTTAGCAACCCATTTTCCAAGTAATTTTCATGGAGGAAATCTGATCAAGAAGGAGAATCTTTTAAATTTTAACAGTTCCAGGAGTCAAAATAAATTACCCTTTCAGCAATTCCCCCTGCCCAGACGTATTCTGCCCCTGAGTTCCCAGAGCTCACAGATCAGGCTCCACATTGTGGACCACAAGGAACACGAGATTCCTGGAAACCCCAAGGGGCTGCTGGGACTCTGGGAGCACAGGTGTGGACGGAGGTAGGCGACTCTCCTGGAGTCAAATTCCTTGACCATAAATAGTTTCTCCTACTTGACCCCAGCATCTTCGACCTTGTTCACACCATACCTGCCTCTCAGGGGAAACCCTCCAACCAGGGTTATGGGACATGACATACCGGGCATCCAGTGACCGCCGCCAGGTCCACGGCCAGCTCACAGGACCTGATCAGCTCCTCTATCATGGCCAAAGCCTGCTGCCGGTCAGCCAAGAACGCGGGAGCCTGGGTCCTCTGTGGCCCATCCTGTGGAAACCAAATGCCCTGTTGGAAATCAAAAGGTAAACCATCTCCCAAGTGAAGAAGGAACACAGGACAGAGAGAAGGAGCCACGGATCCAGCCAGCACGACATATCTGAGACAGCGGGGACACCGCTCTGCTTTCCAGCTCACAAAGAACGGCATTTGCTGGTTTACCATCAACCATACTTCTGTGGATTGTACTAATGAAGAACAAAATTCATAAAACCATGGGCATTATACTCCTGCTTTATAAGAAACATACTGGGATTTTTATTTATTTATTTATTTTTTAAGCAGGAAAAGACAACAACCCAAAACACAGCCCCTTTAAATTGACTGCCCTCTTCTTTACACTCCTATCCCTGTGGCCTGTGGAAAAATACGATTCATATTCCTATATTGAACACGAAAGCCTTATTCCTATGGGCAAAGTGATACTTAAAACCTTCCCAGAGAAAGACCGTTTTAAACTCCCAGAGAGAGAAAGAATGGGCTGCCAGCGCAGGTTGACTAATGATTTACCTGTAAACGTGGTAAGGGTTGCATTTCCATAACTCTGCCCTTCCTCCTCTCACACGTTGCTGCCTTTAACGTTACCAAGGAGGTCTGTACCTCCCAAACAGAAAGACTCAGCATTAAGCGGAAAAGCCTGAACTGCTAATTCAAGAAACCAATATTTCCACTGGTAGCACTGTGGCGCTTAGGCCATACGAGGGATGGTTCTTAGAGCCTCAAAGGCTTTTGCTCAGGTTTTCAGTATTTTATTCCCCACGACTTACATAACATACGGATGTTATGTAGTAAATGCAGACAGAAAGATTTTGGTTTCTCCCATTTTGTTAAACACATCAATTTCTACAACTAAGGACAGATAGCTTTTTGCTGGCCCATAGCGCCCACCTCTTTTTGTCCTCTACTGCATGATGTGAGCGAAGGGTGTGTATTTCCTTAGCCTCCGCAGAAGCAGCAGGGAGTAGCTCTGTGAGATCAGAGACATGAGTGACAGGGCTGATGAATGGAGCAGAGCGTGCTGCCTCCACTGAATGGCCTGCCCAGGAGCCTTCTCCTTCGTAATAAATATGCTCTGGTCCCGGGAAAGACAGCAGGCTCACCGGACCTTACAATAACATCAGCAAAGTGTCGAACGTTCTTACACTGCCTGCATCCTCTATTCAACATGTAAAACGCAAGTTGAGAGACTCCACTGTTCCTATTCTTTCTCCTTCCTCGTTTTGCTGTGGTAACGTAGGGCTCAGAAGAAGCCTTATAAAAATCACCAAGCCCTTCTCCCTCGGGCCAGCTCACCTAACTCCAGGCTGTAAAATCATCACCTGCACCTAGAGCTTCTAAATTCAAGGGGTCCCCCACACACATTCTGGGCAGAGAAGGCATGCAAATAACTGTGAGACACATGCCTCGGGTTTCTCTGGTTAAAACAGGAGTATTTAATAGGAATTTTAAAAGAAAGGCCACCGTTAAGCCACAAATTTCTTCCTAATCGGGTAGGTTTCCAATTCCTTCAAAGGAACCTTCGCTGTCTCTCTTAGCACACACACATACACACAAACACCACACACACACACACACACACACACACACACACACACTTGGAGAGAATGGGATACAATGTATACAAATTAGATAAACACAGGAAATAGAAATCATTCATAGTCATACCGTGCAGGAAAACCACAGTAGATATTTTACCACACTTCCTTTCAGTCTTTTATGTACGCATTTTACACATTCCTGTTCGTATTCCCATTAAAACATTTTTTGTGTAAAAGCAAAAAAAAAAAAAAAAATGCAATACCGTTTATTCTGCAACAAATCTCCACTTGAAAATTGCCTTTAATTGTTTTGTTCCTTCCTGACTATGAGTTATGAAATACATACAATTTTACAAGACTTAAACAATGGAGACCTTAGCAAGGAAAACAAAATGCCATAAATCCTCCCACCCTCGGGCAAACACCAGTGACAGGAATATAAAACAGTATTTAGCATCCAGTACCTTAGCCGAACCTCCTTCTAGGTCACCTGGCTCTATCTCCAAATCCTCAGGAGACTCCAAATCCAGCAGACCCTGCATTAACCCAAAAGCCTTAGTGAAAAATTCAAAAGTAGAGTGCCAACTAAATGTACTGTGCAAACAATCTCCAGACAAATGCTCAGGTAATTGAGAATGCATGCACATTTGTCTGTCTGTCACGAGTAAGAGGGGAAGAATGAATTATCTATCTGGCACAGTGTTCTTTGCACAAATAAAATCTTACTAGCCACATTTTTATGTAGCCTGCTTTTTCTCACTCAACAGCATATCATGAATGTTTATTTTCTCATGACATTATATACTTTTAAAAACATGGTTTTGGCCGAAACCGGTTTGGCTTAGTGGATAGGGTGTCTGCCTGTGGACTGAAGGTCCCAGGTTCAATTCCGGTCAAAGGCATGTACCTTGGTTGAGGGCACATCCTCAGTGGGGGGTGTGCAGGAGGCAGCTGATCAATGACTCTCTCTCATCGATGTTTCTAACTCTCTATCCCTCTCTCTTCCTCTCTGTAAAAAAATCAGTAAAATATCTTAAAAAAATAAAAACATGGTTTTGATTGTGTCAGCATTGTTTCTATACATAAATCGTCCTATACATAAATCGTAATTAATTCATCTTCTCTGTTGTTAAATATTTTGGTTCTGTAATTTTTCCTAAAGATAACTTCCTAGAAGTGGGATTGTCATTGTTAAGAGTCTTGATGCATTATTTACAAGTTCCTTAGAGAAGGATTATGTGTCCACCAGCCACTTATAAAACTTGATCACCAGCCATTTAATCAGAATGTTTGACCAATTGAATTAATAGGTCAATCTACCTCACTGCTTTTTAGTTTGAATTTCTCAGATATTAGTGAGGTAGAGCTTTAAAAAAAATGTTTCCTACTAAAAATGTTTTCTTTTGTAGCATGCCTATGTCCTTCATTCATTTTTCATTATTAATTTCTTTTTTATTGAGGTATACCTGATACATAAAATTGCTAGATATGTACAGTGTAAATCCTGATGATTTGATACACGTATACATTGTGGAAGGATTCCCCCTATCTAGTTAATTAACACATCTATCTAGTTAATTAACACATACAAATGATATGTGTGAGAGAGAGAACAGTTAAGTCTATTCCGTTAGCAAATTTCAGTTACACAATACAGTGTTTATCAAACTTCATGTTTTACATTAGATCCTCAAACCCTATTCATCTTATAGCTGAACGCTTGTAACATTTACCCACCTCTCCCCATTAATTATTTCTTTAAATAGTAGCCTATGAAAAATTTTTAAAAAAGAAAAATGAATTTTGCTCTTATGATATAAGTTGGTTTATACAAGAAATCAGCATGAGTACCTATTCTAGAAAAGCTTTGTAATAAGCAAAACTTACAGTACACAAACATTGCACCGTTTTTGCAAACCATATCTTAATTTAACAAAATCCAAGGAATAACAATTATCTATATTAAACTTTTGATAGTTTCCAGTTCTGGCTAATGTTTCTCAATGGTTAGAGTATCATCCCACACACTGAAGAGTTGTGGGTTTAATTCCCTGTTAGGGCACATACACAGGTTTTGGGTTGGATCCTGGTCAGGGTGAATATGGGGAGCAACCGATCGGTGTTTCTCTCTCTCTCCCTCTCTCCCTTCCTCTCTGGAATCAATGAAAATAAAAATGTCCTCAGGTGAGGATTAAAGAAAAAACTTTGGTAGTTTCCATCCATCACTTAGCCTGTTTGATAGAAATCATGCATTCAATGAAAGCGAGTTCCTGTTGCTGATAGTAATGTATACTGATAACAACATTAATAATGTTAAATTAACTTGCCTTGGCTCATTAAACATTATATACTAAAAAAAAAACCTCTTGGTAATGAATATTAATTTTTATAACATCTCAGATAAGATAGTAAGCATTTCATAGATATCCTTTTTTATTGTTTCATTATTAATTTCTATGAGCTCATTATTAAGCATGCTGACCATTGGTCACATCTCTTGCTAATAAATATTTTCCCCAATTTTTCATGTGTCTGTCCTTCATGGTATAATCTGCCATTGCTTCCCCTTTCTTTTAATATTAGAACAGCTCTCCCACACCAGGATCCTTTCAAAGCCATGAGGCAGTCAGCCCAGCATCCAAGCTCTTTCAAAGGAGCTGCAGAATGAGCTCAGTTCCTCGGGACGGAGACAACCACAGAGGCCTTCCTTTCTCCGTAGGCCTGCCAGCGGTTTGAACGTGTGTTTCCAGGCACCCAGCAGGCTCCTCCCCGGGAAAAACTGGCCGGCCCTGACTCGCCTCCCGTGGTTGTGCACAGACCCCCAAAGAAGATTTTATAATGATCCCGTCTCTTGTTTCCTCAATAAAGCTCACAAAACCTCCTCAGTGTTTGTAACACGTATTCCGTCCTTTCTTTAATGGGTCCAAAAAGCACACCAGGCAAGTATCATGACTACCTTCCTTTCACAGGGGCGGGGTCTGAGACTGAGAGCAGTTAGGAATCTGCAGGAGTTCACTCAGCTGTCAGAGCCTGCATCTACACCCAGGATGTCTGACTTCCGACTCTGTGCCCCACGGCCCTCTGCAAGTGGAACTTAGCTACTGTGTCCGCATTGCTTCAGAGGGAACACTGGAGCCCTCAGTCCGGATGCAGCCAGGCCTGGGAGTGAAGCTCCCCTCTTTCCCAGCCCCCTGAGGTCCCCCCCTTCTCCCTGGGCCCAGCGGTAGGACTTCATGAACAGAGTAAGGATGGGGCAGTCAGAGGCATGGAGGTCCTAAGAGGATGCTTTATCATCACTCACTCACAGATACTACTCCTCTGGGGAGGCAGTGAGCCATCATCCTCATTCTCACACGGGTGTGACATCTCCAGGTAGCAAACAGGCACCTGTCACATTGCTTCACGGGGCTCAGCGCTGGGTGAGCTCTCTGCACGCCCCACGCACTGCTTTCTGCAGCGAGGAGGAGGGTCTGGCATTCTCACTCACTATGAGAAAACCTAGGCCTGAGAGGTCCAAGGATCCCAACTGATAGCAACAAAGCCAGTGCAGACTAGGCTGGGGGTATCAAGGCAAAGATGAAAGAGCTAACTTTTCCCGAAAGTGGAATATTGGACACGAGTTTAACCTCCGTGAGCCTCAGTTTCTTCATACTCCAGAGCCTGCCTGACACATCTGATTGCAGGGTGAAGTAAAAAAATCTGTGTGGGAAGGCTCCCAGGCCCCTTTAAACTCTACGATTCTTTGGTCTCACCCCACGTGGAGGAGGGCCCCATTAGTCTTGGAGGACAGAAAAAGCTCCAAGGTCAGAAATTTTACCGCAGAAGACAAAGTCACAACTCTCCACGCGGTCACCTTAGCGCATCCATCTGTTTTCCCAACACAGAAAAGCACAGTCCCATGGGCTTTACCTTCAACAGTTTCTGATATTTCAGAAGTCTCTGGCTGGGGCCTCTAAGATACTCGACAAGAGGGAGATTGTGATCCAATTGGCGCTGGCATACCTTTCAAAAACAAACAGAAACAACATCAAACAAAACACAGACACACACACACACACACACACACACACACACACACCCGGAGGACAAAGGTGGCGGCATTTAAATACAAGAAATGAGCGACTCTTCATGGAGAGGGCCAGCCGTGTCCACCCGCTTCCCAATGCTTTGGAGTCGCTCTGTCCTCACGGAGCAGGGAGTGAAGTAGAAAGGAAGGGGGAAGGGGACAACGTGGCTGGTATTTCTATAGGCAGCTAGGGAAGCAGGGCCATTCCCTTCCTTTAGAAGGCAAGCCCCTAGAGGACAGTGGGGGCGCTTCAGGTCCTTCTACCCAGGAGGTGGCCCGTCTTTGAGTCTAGGCGTGATGGTGGGGTCCATTGAGGTCATTTGAGTCTGTAGGACACATGATGGCGTATGATATCATTCAAGAGAGTCCCGATGTCTAATCTCTTGGATTTAGTTCCGTTTTCAAAACCGTCTTAGAAGGGGACTCTGGTTTCTGCACCAGGCTCCTCGCAGACCTGCTCACAGAGGCCCAGAGCAGCATCCAAACTCCCAACGTACCACTTCAGCATGGAAGAGACGTTTAATAAACCAAGTGCCAGTGCCCAATTCCTCTGCCCAGTTAAAAAATAAAATATATATAAAATTGATATTTTTACAGAAAGAAAGGGAGAGGGATAGAGAGTTGGAAACATTGATGAGGGAGAAACATCGATCAGCTGCCTCTTGCACACTCCCCACGGGGGATGTGCCCACAACCAAGGTACATGCCCTTGACTGGAATCGGACCAGTCTGCAGGCTGCCGCTCTATCCACTGAGCCAAACCGGTTAGGGCCATACTTTTGATAGCTTTAAAAATTTGATGCATAATGAACAAAATGAATTGAGCAACAGAATAAGACCCGGAGCCTGGAGGCATGGAACAGATTGACATACCTCTATGTGGGGTTGGAGAGAACAAGAAGAAACCAAAGATCTTACATACTTATATTCATAGCCCATGGACGTGGACAATTGGGTAGTGAAGACCTGGGGTGGGGTGAATAGGGGCTGGGAGAGAAGGGCAGAAAATGGGAGATATCTATCATACTATCAATAATAAAATACATTAATTTGTTTGATGCGCATTGTTCAGAGAAAACAATTTGTGGGAGACCTTGAAATCTCAACGTTACCCCAAAGTAGGCGCAGTCTTGACATTCTTGCCAGATTGCCTGAGCTCGGGGCAGATTCTTGTGGTATTTAAAATATATCTGAAGATCTTCTTTCTGAGTGGGGAAAAAAATTCAGACACATTAATCAGATAGTATTTTTCAGTAAGTAGATAAGATAATACAGTTTATTTATTCATCCCACAAGCCTGGGTTTTTCAATGTGTGAGAAGCTGGGGATGCACAGTCAGGTGGTCCTGCTTTGGAGTGAGCGTGTGATGGAGGTGATAGGGGCAATAAACAACTGTACGTACTAAATACAGATGGGAACAGAGTTCTGTGGGAGCAATTACAGGAGATTCATGAACAGGAGTCTCTTGATCTGGGTTGTTTCTCCTCTGCTTTTTATTCAAAATACCAATGTCTCCCCTAAATAGTATTTTCCTTCCCCCCCCCCCATAAAAAACAAACAGTAAAATGGAATACCCTCTCCTATTTACCATAATAATGATCCCAATTCTGGGGGGGGGGGACACAAAAAAACAACATAGAGAAATACCATGCAGGAAAATGTGACCATTCAGACAAAACCACGCAGATCTATTAATAAATCATGTGGGCAAGCCCCCAAGTGGCAAGCTCTGCCTCAGTCATCACTTTCAACCTGCAGCACAAGATTGGAGAAGAAAAAGAAACTCAACAATCTCAGAGCTAGAGACCAGCAGTGATCCGGGTGCTTGCTCGACCTTGAGAGCATGAGGTGGACACACATCTGCCAGTATCCCAGGTGGGAAGGACACCCTACGCCAATGAAGCCAGCTGCAGCTCCATCGGGAAAGCCTGGCCCATGGGCGCTGTGCTTGCCACAGAGCCACACCGCTCTGGCAGAGAGGCCCCCGTGGTTTCTTCCTTTCAGACTTTGCGTCCCCCTCTTCCCGCTAAAGGCCAGTTTGTGATGTCCTTCACATGTGTGTGGGCTCTCTTCCCCTCACTGTGTCAACGCTGTCTCTTCTACTCTAAACACACGGCTCTGGTGAATGAGTTCATTCTGCATCTCTTCCCCTCTCCCAATGGATGGTAAGTGGTCCTTTCACTACAAGAGCTGTAGCAACTCTGTCTTTTGTACTCTCCCCAGAAAAAATTGTGCGCGCATGCGCACTCCCATTTAGTAAGAGAGGTGGCCCTTGAGAAATGTTCTTCAGACTGGTTAAGGCAGTGGTCGGCAAACTCATTAGTCAACAGAGCCAAATATCAACAGACCAACAATTGAAATTTCTTTGGAGACGCCAATTTTTTAACTTAAACTTCTCCTAATGCCACTTCTTCTAAATAGACTTGCCCAGGTTGTGGTATTTTGTGGAAGAGCCACCCTCAACAGGTCAAAGAGCCGCATGTGGCTCACGAGGTGCCGTTTGCCAACCACGAGGGTTAAGGAACTAGAATAAGAATTCAAAGCTTAAAAATAACATATTCATTATGCATTCACTTAGCTCATCAAGAACACTCCATTGTCTACAAATAGTCTGTCAAAGCATAAAGACCTTGGCTGTTAGCTCCTAAAAGAATTTGAGGTTTTGTTGCTTTCACCACTCACCGCCAGAAGATTCTCAGGAGCTGAAGGAGACTTTGGAGATACAGCTTCCCACCCAGTAAAGCATCCTCAACAGGCAGCCACCTTTCCCCAGGTCTCCCCATAGCAGACAGGCCTGGTTCCCTCCATGTAAGCTGAGCTGAAACCTGAGTTCCTGAAACCTTCACCCTGGTTATGTGTCTGTACTTTGAGCAATAGCACAGGATATTACAGACCACGTACCGAAATATAACTATCGACTTCAATTTGCTTTTCAGTCCAAAATTCCTTAGAGAAAAGATGCGCACTAGCCAGCAGCATAGGAAAGTGCTCGATTCCCCTCACCTCCTTATAGAATAAATCAGGAGGCTAAAAAAAATTACTACCACAAACTCACGTTCACACAGGGAGACACGACTGCTTATGAATTAACCTGATAACCAGGGAGTTCCCTTTTTAATTACACAACATACAATGGGCGCATACTCTTTCACTAGTACGTCACACCCAGCAGACATAATTTTATATTATTATTTTTTATTTATACTTAATTAAAATAAATGAAATATATATTTTTTCGTTTATTTATATATAAAGCACAAAGTAAAATACAAAATTACAAACAAATAGAAAAAAATACCAATAAAAAAATGGAAACATCAAATTAAAAAATTATAAATTTTACAAACAATTATAAAGATTACAACCGAAGCCGGTTTGGCTCAGCAGTAGAGCGTTGGTCTGCGGACTGAAAGGTCCCAGGTTTGATTCCGGCCAAGGGCATGTACATTGGTTGCTGGCACATCCCTGGTGAGAGGTGTGCAGGAGGCAGCTGGTCGATGTTTCTCTCTCATTGATGTTTCTAGCTCTCTAGCTCTCTCCCTTCCTCTCTGTAAGAAAATCAATAAAGTATATTTTAAAAAAAAAAGATTACAAAAAATATATACTGTCCCTCTGAGGGCGCAACATATATTTCAAGGACGTATTCTTATGTCCTACCCGTTCCCGATAGTGTTTATGTTTGACGAATTTATAGGTCCCGCTCGGTTAACAGGTTAAGACTGTGGGCTCCGATGGTGGATGGTTCAGGTTCAATTCTTGGCTTTGTCAATTATAAACCATATGGCCTTAGGTTAGTCGTTTAACCTTCCTACGACTCAGTTTTCTCATCTGTGAAGTGGGCTCACCTATTCAATTCCTATGGTTGTTGTGAGATTAAATGAGATGATGTATAGAAACCTCTCAGCAAATGCCTGATACATGCCAAGTACCCAATAATAGTAGCTTATTGTCACAGCACTTTTTACTTTGTAGAACCCATCTGTATGCATTATTTTATTTGACTTCCACAACAACTTTACGTGTTGGTATTATTAGCCTGTTGTATGGAGGAGGAAAGTGAGACTCCAAGGGTTTAAGTGACGTACAGACAGCAGCTTGATCTAGATGAGAAGTTCTGTTTCCTGAGTCTCATCCCATGCTCTTTCGCTCTTTCCAGAGAGCAAAGGAAACTCAAAGTAAACAACTGACACATAATATTCTATACGGAGCTTGGCCTCAGGGGGCAGAATCATAGAGTTGGATTAAAACACTTGGCCAGAGTGGCTGATGTGGTTCAGTGGTTGAGCAACAGCCTATGAACCAGGAGGTCTCAGTTTGATTCTGGGTCAGGCACGTTCCCCGGGTTGTGGGCTTGATCTCCGGTGGGATGCATGCAGTAGGCAGCCAGTCAATGTTTCTCTCTCATGGATGTTTCTCTCTCTATCCTTCTCCCTAACTCTTTCTAATATCAATAATAATAATACTAATACTACTACTACTAATAATAAAAACCTTGGCCAGAGCAATATTTCAAAGTTCATATCTATGATCAGTGTCAATCTCAAATACTATGGAGAAGAGATAAACTGCTATCCTATATAATAAAAGCCTAATATGCAAATCAACCAAACGGCGGAACAACTGGTCCCTATGCCACGCACTGACCACCAGGAGTGGACACTCAAAGCAGGAGTTGCCGTGATGCATACAGAGAAATGGCACCAAGGACCTGGTGCTGGCAAAGCAACACTCAGCTTCCCCCAAGTGGGACACAGGCCCCACCACCACCCAGGACTGACAGCCCACAAAATCGCAGTCGTACTGCCATGGCGCAAAATGTGGCCCACAGCCCAGCCCGGAAATGATGTCTGTGGGCACTGGGTAATGACATCATGTTTTTTATGACATTCTGAAGCCGAAATTGTCAACAGAATATGTCTGAAGACAAAGAAAGGCGACATCATAGACAGAATATGTTTGAAGAACAACTATTGGCATAATGTACCTCTGGAGCAGAAAGAAAGCGAAGTCGTGGACAGAATATGTCTGAAGAACAGTCATCGACAATACTGGTAGGAACTGCCTTCATAGCAAAAAATAAGGTAAATGAAGATGCAATTATCTAACACAGTTGTGGGGGAATGACTGTTACATGTCAATTTTGCCTATTCCTAAATTTCTCCAATGAAAAACCATCTTATGGAAAATTTGCTTGATGTTATAGCAAAGGCAAAGTTTGTCCAAATTATATAAATTTTCCAGAATACCCAGCATATTTTAAAAAAATGATAAATGAAGATTCTGACAGTAAATTTTTCATAGAAAATATTTGTTGTTATATCATGTTGTTATTGGTTTTTATTAATCAATTTATATATTATTTTCATGTACATTTTACTAATTTTCTTTCATCTCTGATACTTCTATTATGGAGAAAGGGCAAATAGTAATATTAAAATATTTCTTCTAGTTAACTTCCTGTCAATGTGCATGAATTCATGCACTGGGCCACTAGTAGTAAATAAAGGATGATAGGCCGACCTTATTGGCTAACAAATACAAGTCTTTCACAGCAGTAGCAAATACCCTTAAGGATTCTCAGAGATTAGATAATTGCAGTCTTAAGATAAGAATTTATTACCTGAATTTTATCTCCAACATCAATAATCATATAGGATTATATACAGAGTTTGCAGACTGGGTTAATGATTTCTAAGGTGCCTCTCAACATGGAGGACTAGAAAAAGCTTGTATAACTGTAGGAGAGGAAGTCACCCAAGAAAAGATAGTTAGTTGGAAACTCCCTATTTCCTCATACTTAGACAATTTTTATGTGATTACACCCATTTTTCTGCCCTAGGAATTTGGTCCTTTTCTCACTCAAAAAATGTAAATGTCTTTGCAATCCTATATAATAAAAGGGTAATATGCAAATTGACTAACCAGTCACTATGATGCGCAGTGACCACCAGGGGGCAGATGCTCAATGCAGGCGCTGCTCCCTGGAGGTCAGTGCACTCCCTCTGCCACAAGCCCGGTTGATGGCTGGCGAGTACAGCAGCAGCGCAGGACAGCAGAGCTAAGGATGTCCCACTGCTAAAGGGTGCAGGCCAGGCTGAGGAATTCCCCCAACCTCCAGTGCTCAAATGTTGTGCATCAGGCCTCTAGTAAAGATATAAGCATTTATAAAATATTTCTAAACTGTGAAATTAGATTTCACATTGGTGACTTGATGAGTGCAAAGTTGCAAAGTAAGAAAAAAACACTAATAATGCTATAAAAATAATCCAAAAAAGAAATAGCCAAAACCGGTTTGGCTCAATGGATAGAGCGTCGACTTGGGGACTGAAGGGTCCCGGGTTCGATTCTGGCCAAGGGCATGTACCTTGGTTGCGGGCATATCCCCAGTAGGGGGTGTGCAGAGGCGACTGATCGATGACTCTCTCTCATCGATGTTTTTAACTCTCTATCTCTCTCCCTTCCTCTCTGTACAAAATCAATAAAACATATTAAAAAAAAAAAAAAGGAATAATGAGATTGAATACAAAACAGTTTTTAGTGGGCTACCTGGAATTCCAGCACCTGAGGTTTGGAAAGTGCATGCAGGGCCATGGAGGGAGGGGCCTTCTAAGCTGGTTAGGAGCTCTGGGTGTTGAAAGCTCTGTTTTTTTCATGTGTAATACCTTGAAACCTGGGATTCTTGTTTGCTTGCTCTCAGTTTATACAAGTATTTCTCATATATACGATAGTAATGATTTTTTACAGAGAGGAAGGGGGAGGGATAGAGAGCTAGAAACATCGATATGAGAGAGAAACATCGACCAGCTGCCCCCTGCATGCTTCTTATGGGGGATGTGCCCGCAACCAATGTACATGCCTTCGACCAAAATCGAACCTGGGACCCTTCAGTCTGTAGACCGATGCTCTATCCACTGAGCCAAACAGTTTCAGCACAGGTATTTCTCTTAAACAAGTATTTCTCATCAGTTATAATGTGGGTTGCTTACAAATTTGAAAGTTCTTTGATCAGTTGTCTCAGACTCACAAAAAAATAAAAACAAGGAAGAGATGGAAAAGAATGGCTGAGAGAGAAGAAATGGGAAAGATTCAGGAAGTTGAGGGCAGCAGGGTCATCTGCAGTCCTCCTTCGGGGAGGGGAACATGTGGGTGCCAGCACCCAGGGAGCACTGCTGGCCCAAACAGCCTATTTCTTGCCCAGAGCAGGGGTGGAGAAGCCTGGTGGGAAGAGGGCTGTGTGGTGGGAAGGGGAGGTCATCAGATGCATGTTGTTGCAGAACAGGAAATTCACAAATCGGATGTTATAGGTCAGAGAGGCCACCATAGAGTTAACATTTCCTAACCACCCTCTACGCCATATGGTATCAAATGGAAGTCAATATATTTTCAGTTTAACATCAGTACCCCCTCTCTGGAGAGAACTACCATGTTTCCCCGAAAATAAGACCCCCCTAGGCTAAACATGAGAGATTTGGTCCACTGATTCTGAAAGAAATGGAGTCACAAGAAATTCACCAGGAAATTCAGGAATTGGATTGTTATGATGATGTTCCAGAAGATGATGACATGATTGTCATTGAATAAATGACTCAATTCTTGACACTGTAGGATTCACAGTTTGTCTGGTTTGTGTTGACAACTACCGTACTACTGTACCATATACAGGTAATAAATTTCCTTTATTTTCATTGAACAATAAATGTGTACCGTATTCTTCTTCATGGAAAAATAAGACATCCCCTGAAAATAAGACCTAGCGCATCTTTGGGAGCAAAAATTAATATAAGACACTGTCTTATTTTCGGGGAAACAGGGTAATACAACTAGTGGGGAATGTACGTGTGATTCTGGTCCTAAAAGAGTTAGGTTAGTCATGCAGAGTTATTCAGGATCAGCTGCTTTGGGTTGCCTGGAGGCCAGTCTTTCATTTCCCTGGGCTTTGCCGAAAGCTGGGCTAGGAAGTGGCCCCCACCTAAGAGTGAGCTCCGTCAAACTGGACGTGATTCACACCCCGTGCAGTTGTGCAAGGGACTTTTGCTTCGCATCCCAAAGGCAGATGTGTTTTCATCCCTTGGCGCTGCCTTTCACCCCCGCCACCTACACAGAAAACCAAGGGGTGACTTGAAACACAAGGTTATTCCGGTTGCTTAGGAGCACAGACTTACTCTCTCGAGAAAGCAACGAGCCAGACGTTTGGGATTCTCAGTGCACTTTTCCAATTCCTTTAGGAAAATCCTAGGGGGTGCGGAGAAGTAGAATAATGCTTTTAAAATGACATTTACAGGTATTAAAAAAATTTTTTTAAGTAAAATCATATAAGATTTTAAGAGGTGCCTAGAAAAACGTTGTTTTCTGAACTTTGTTGCTCTTGGTTCATCGTCAACACACTGACTTGGAAGAAAAAAAAAAGTGCATTCTGTGACATTGGTAGGATTCCCTCAAACAGCCACATTAAATTCCCTGATGATTCTAAGCATGAGCCACTGCGACGGGATGGGATGCACGGATGCCTCCAGCCTCCCATCAGCGTTAATGAGAACGGCTGCTGTGGCTGCCGCCGCCACTGCTGTCACCGTGAGCTTCCTGTGCGTGAGGCACACGCTGAGGACGTCACAAACAATATCTCGTTTAATCTTCCACCAAACATCGCACGAGAGGGTTCCATAAACCCCGAGGTTAAGAGAGGCCACGTCACTTCCCAGGGAAAGTATCAGAAATGAGATTTCCATTTCCGTTTTGACAACAGTCCCAATCGAACTAAGATGTGGTTAGGAAGCTACCAAGGCTCTTTTCCCTTCTGGCAATGAGATGTGTCATTTTTGGAGTCCTTCTGGTGAGTCAAGTGAGGTTTTACTCATCTGTAAAAAGCAAGGGTTGGAAAATAATTTCCAAAGTCCCTTTGTCCTCCGTTTCTCTAGAACTCGGCATGTAAAGTGCCCCGGGCTCACAGGTCAACTTGTTGGACCGGTTAGCATTATCTGACACCCTAGATCCCAGCTCTGCCCTTTAATAACAGGAATGGTCATCTCTGTGTTCCCCATGGGGAAACACGGTGTCTGACACTCAGCAGGTGCTCACTGGATGCTGGGGCATACATAGGTACGTTGGCAAAAGAGCACACGCATAAATATGACATGGATGCCTGATACCTCGTTCAGGTTTCATGAATGTCTTTTCCCTCTTCCCCCGGAATCTTGTGGTACTTGTCCCCTCATTCCCTCCCAACTCACCGATTCTGGATTGCTTGTGTGAGTCTGAAACTAAGTACTTCTGCGGCCAAATTCCATCAGTCTGATTCCCAGCCTTCTCTTCCTTTGCACCCCCCCCGCACCCCCCGATAATGTGAATTATTGGGTACCTGTCGTGAAATTCGTAAAGTTCTCTAATATTCCCAAAGAGAACATCCTTGTTGTTCTGAAGAGCGTCCGGAATCAGATGCTTCAGCCAAGTATAATCCATTGGAGTGATGTATCCCTGCAGAGGGGCAAATGAGGCAGGTTTTACAGATAGAGCATATGAAAGGCGATCTGCATTCACTACTCTGAGGAATACAACTTTAACAAAATAATTGGGGAATATAGAACACATATCTCCCAAAAGCCATTTCATCAGATTCTTTTGGTATTATTTTCCTTATTGGTCCATCTTCAGAAGAAGATGGTTCATTGGGAATGATAATAAAAAGGCATTTTTATAAGAAGAACAAATATATTTTTAAAAACTTACCTATCATTTTTATGACCTAGTGCAATTACTATCATTTTATTATATTTCCTGCATGACTTTTAGAAGCTTATTTTATGTCGTTATAATCACCACACATAAATAAATTGCATTGTTTTGCCATATATATTTTAGAGGCTGCTTGTAAATTTCTATATATATGGTTTTTAATGTAATCTTATAAGCATTTTTCAGTGTTGCTACAAATGATTAAAAATAATTATTTAAACAGTTAAATAATATTTCACTATTATTTAACTGTTACAAAATAATTAGCATGTATGTTAGACTTGATTAACCATTCCTCCCCTTTTTAAATGGATATTTGGTTTTCTGATATTTTATGGTAAAAAAGTATATTATAATTTTGTACACATAATTTACTCCTCAAGATTATGCCCTTCACTAGTAAGGAAAAATGTGCTACTTAAAACAATGAGAATTTTCTCTTATTAAATTATCAAAAACATGTTAATGGCCATATCCACTTGTTGGCAAGCTGGTTGAGCAATACCAGGATCAGTATGAAGTGGCACAATCCTTTAGAAGGTATTTAGTTACATGGACCAATAGTCATAAGAATGTGCTTATTCCAGCTGGAAAAAACCCTTGCAATATTATAAGACCTAAAACCTTGGGGGGAATTCCAGAGACACATGGCAACTGTTTTGATTCTCTGTGAAACAAAATTTCTTCAGTTTGAATACACGTTTAATATCCCCATCCCCAATCTACTTACATCAATTATGCTCTTCATTTCTTTTATATAAACCTTTTCAGTCTCAAGCAAGTCACGTATAAGGCACCTGAGCAGGCGGGAAGATGAAAAAGAGAGGGGAGGAACAATGTTTTAGGATTCTTTTAGAATAATGCTCATCAATACTTCCTCTTAGTCAATTCATCCTGTTGTATGGACTACCCAAGGCCAACAGCTCACAAAACTCTGAACAGACTGTCATTAGAGGAAATGACAAGGTTGGAGGATTCAAAACCCATGTGTGCAGCTAGCGATTGACTTGTCCTTGGGTAGGCTACAGTGTGGGGGTCAAGAGGGCAGATGGTGGAGTAGGAAATGCCTGGTTTGGATCCTCGGTCAGGAGAGTTTGACTGACCCCTATGTTATGGTGTGGTTTCCCATATTTTATCTAGCTTTCTGCTGTTTCGTCACTCACTTGGATCTTTCGCCCATGTGGGTGTGTTTTGTGCACCAGGTTAGACAGATGCCAGCTATGCCCCTTCTCTGGCATTCCATGTTTCAGGGTGACTGATTTCCTCAGCCAAATGACTGGAGCTCCGTCTGCTTCCCTGGTGGGGAGTGAGGTAGGCAAAATTCCAAGATGATCTGCAAGATATCTGGCCCCTGTCCTAACCAGTTTGGCTCAGTGGATAGAGTGTCGGTCTGCAGACTCAAGGGTCCCAGGTTGATTCCGGTCAAGGGCATGTACCTTGGTTGCGGGCACGTATCCAGTAGGAAGTGTGCAGGAGGCAGCTGATCGAGGTTTCTCTCTCATTTATGTTTCTAGCTCTATATCCCTCTTCCTCTCTGTAAAATATCAATAATATATATATATATATATATATATATATATATATATATATATATTTTTTTTTTTTTTTTTTTTTTTTTTTTTTTTTTTAAGATACCTGGCCCTGCTGTTCAAAGATCTTCTCCCGGTCAGTCAATCAAACACGAATTTAGGTGCTGTTCAGATGTGATTTTGCCATTCTGTTTTGTTCCAAATCAACTGACCTCATCCCATAAAATCTCTAGCTCTGGGTCTAGAAGTAGAGAGACTGGGAGCATGAGGAGGTGAAATAGGGGAGATTCTCCTTTGCTGGCTTTGGAGGGGACATGCGGCCAGGAGCGGAGGCAGCACCTAGAAGCTGGGCGTGGCCTCCAGCTGATGGATAGCGTGGAAACAGAGACTCAAGTCCTGTGGTTGCAAGGAACTGAGTTGCAAATACAACGGCGTGAACCTAGGACACTGGGCAGAGTCAGCCAATGGCTTGATTTTCATCTGTGGGACCTGGGCAAAAAGCCGGTTATGCTGTGCCCAGGTGCCTGTGCCAGGGAATCTGTGAGCAGAGCAACTAAGTTTCTGGACATTTTTTATGCAGTAACAGAACACTGATGGAGTGAGGCTGGACTCCCACATCTGCCTCCAGACAGACAGTTTTCTCTCTCTCCTCAGGCTGCGAGGCCATGCTTCCTTCCCAGGCTTTCTCTCAGGCCTCCATGTGAGTCAGTCAGCGTTCGTACAAGTGTTCACGAATAGAGTATGCACTCTTATGGTTTCCCATGAAGTGTTGGCGGACATCCATGAAACAGTAACCTAGCCTAGTGAATGGTTTCTTCTCCTTTCATAAAATGGACAAATAAAGAACACAATTTAGGCAATTCACACAAACATACAAATAGCTATTAGTCTTATGTAAAATAAAGAAAGAAGAAGAAAAAAAACACACAAATGCTCAGTGCACATGAACCTAACAAAGCCACAGTAAAAAGAAATAATATTTTTCAACTACTAAAATGGCAGAAATTTCAAATCTCAAAGGAAGACCAATAGTTGAGGGTGTGGAAACTCTCTCAGACAGTTCTGGCGGGAGTGAACATCGGTGCGCGATAACTTAGAAATAGCTATCACATCGAAAACGCGAGCTCCTTGGCTCAGTAATTCCACTTTTAAGAATGTGTATTGTTTGTTATGAGAACAATAGCATAATAACAACAACCAGATACGTGTGGGAAATTACTTCAATGCTTGTCGTTCAATTTATTATAAAAAAAAAATTATAGGTATATGGTACATACCTATGATGAAATGCATTGCAGTTTTTAAAAGAACGAAGTCAACTGAAAAATGCTGCTGATCTGACAATTGTTTTAACTGAATTAAAAAAACAAACAAAAAACAAGATGCAGAAAAGTATGCATAGTGTGCAATTTGTATAAAAATGAGTGTACACACATACCTATATGTAAAAGTATATATGCTTAGAACATTCATACAAAGAAACTTAAGTCACTGTCAATAGTGATTGCTTTGGGGGCTGGTACTGAAAGCTGAAAAACAGGAAAGGAGAATTCCTTCATTTTACTCTACACTTTTTTTTTTTTTATAATAAATTAGATTAAAAAAAACTTTAAACATTTACCACTTTTATATTTGAAGGAATGGCTTGCATGGCACTTTAAGTGAGAGTAACTAGAGGTAATGATATGTAAACCCTATTTGAAGGATATATATATATATATATATATATATATATATATCCTACAATTTACATATTTTAGAGCTCCACAGTTACTTTTAAAATGACAATCTTTGTAATGACAATTTACAAAAGCTTGTTAAAAGACAAGACTGATGAAGGATAGTCACTGACAGAGGATACGATTTCAAGGAGAAAGACTACCCAGTAAATTACTTGAAGATCCTACTTAGCAAACAGTCTCGGAGTCAGAGGTTTCTTCGATTTTTACGAATCATTCTGAAATGATTGTCAGAAGGAAACATGGGCCTTGATTCCAATCTATTTCTATGAGCTGTGACATCAAGCAGAACCATGGCAACAGTGAAGCATTCATAGGACACCGGAGTACAGCTGGCCTCTTATGCCCTCATGAAGCACTGGGCTTAAGCGACTTGGCAAGCCTGTGCTAGGATGAATCGGTGGTTAAATGAAGTCCAAAGGTAGAAATAACTAGGTGGGGAGCAGAAATCCAAGCCATTGCCTGACAGTTATGTAAGAACTTAGAGACTCTTAGTTTTTAAGAATTTGACACAAAAAAATATTCACAACTTGGAAGAAAAAAAAAAATCCCTCATCAGGTTATATCCCAGGTTATAGTTTGGAGAACAGTCCATTGATTGCATCCAGCTACTTCATTTTATTCTTTTCTTTTTCTCTTTATTTTGTTTCATTTTATTTTTAATTTATTTTTATTTTTTAAAATATATTTTATTGATTTTTTTACAGAGAGGAAGGGAGAGGGATAGAGAGCTAGAAACATTGATGAGAGAGAAACATTGACCAGCTGCCTCCTGCACACCCCCTACCGGGATGTGCCCACACCAATGTACATGCCCCTGACCGGAATCGAACTTGAGACCTTTCAGTCTGCAGACTAACGCTCTATCCACTGAGCCGAACCGGTTAGGGCAGTTTTTATTATTGACTTCAGAGAGGAAAGGAGAGGGAAAAAGATAGAAACATCAATGATGAGAGAGAATTATTGATTGGCTGCCTCTGTGCACCCCACACTAGGGATCAAGCCCACAACCTGGGCCTGTGCTCTGACCAGGAATTGAACTGTGACCTCCTGGTTCATAGGCCGATGCTCAACCACTGAGCCATGCTGGCTGGGTCACTACTTGTGTGAGTGCAACGAATAAAACTCCAATGATAAAAAGTTCCTTAAACACTAGCCACCTACATTTCTGTTCAAATTAAAAATAACAATAACCCTCGGTCACTGTTGGCCATTCTTTTTCCTTTCCTCTCCTTTGCTTTCCTTTCAAATAAGGACAGAATGGGAGAAATTTTATGTTACTACCTGATGATTGCCTGCTTTATTATTCCAAAGCACATATCTTTGTTCATAGAAAAAGTCTCTCAAGGATTGAACACCCAAAGTCACCATGTATGCATATATAGATGAAGAACAGAAAACATTGGGAGTTCCCAAGTAACTTAAAACCTTTAAACATCTCGAGTAATCATGTCCTGATGTATATCTACCCAGAGGCGGGGCTGACCTGCCGGTTCAGCTGGCACTAATGCACTTTACACTCCTGCACATTCCAGCTCTTTGTTTTGCATTTAAAAGGGGAATTTGTCCTTGCCTCCTACCCTGGACATTAGGGAAGAAATGGAGGCATGATTGTTTTATACTCACTTTTTTCATCTCTCTGTTGCTTCCTTGCTTCCTCTGCCTCCTGTCTAACATTGCTGCTCCCCAGAGGTTTGAACTCAGGTTTCCAGGCTTCCTTCCTTCCTCTTCCCTCATGCTTTTGGCTCTCCCACATCCTTATCTTCCTCCCAGACCTTTGGTTACAACCAAGGCCATGTTGCAAGCCACATCTTCACCTGGCTGCCTCCCAGACACCTCATTCACCTCACGTTTGAAATAGAACTCATTAGATAGCAAGAGCATGCACATCAGTGAGTCTGCCATTTTCCCAAGGTCCCCAAAACGGTTGTCATTTCAAGCTCCATCCTTCCATTATGGCTTATATTCAGTCTATCACCAAGTCTCATCATTTCATTTCTCAGCATGCTTCTTCTCTACTTCCGGTGCTGCCCATATGGAGCAAACTCACCATTCCTCTTTTCTTAAGTACTTTGGTGCACTCCTAGCATCTCAGCCTTGCCTCTGAGAACTCGTTCCCGTCCATCTGTTTCGCAAACCACCAGTCTATGTACGCCCTTCCCAAAGCTCCATTTCCACCACGCCTCCATTCTCCCTCTTGAAAGGTTTAACATGGCTCTCAAGTGGCCACAACTGCCAACAGTCCCTCCGGGATTTCACAAGATAAGACTCTTGCACTAAAGCCAAACCCAGACCCACAGACTCAGAATGGGGCATGGTAGATGGCAGTGACAGGTGGAATCTGTAACTTCACAAGCACCCCAGATGATTCTAGTACAGATGTTCTGCTATTCAATTGAGTAATACTGGTCTGATCCACTCCTTTTAGCCACTTTTCCCCCTTTACTTATTCCTGTGTTGTCATTATTTTATACTCCCTTCAAAATTCTAATCATTTTTGAAAACTCAGTTTTAATCCTCCTTCTTCCA